TAAGTGAAGATGCGTTAAGAGATGAGGAGCAAGAATGATTAAATGTATTTCAAAGCAGATTGTCAGCAAGCTTCCTCCGTGTGCTATATTCTAAGATTAGTGAATGAGATGTCTCCTGGAAAATGAAGTTCTAATTGCTCTGTCGTTGAGTCAACCGCTGATGATTCATACCCATCTCCAATATCTCTTCATATTTAGTACTAGCGAGAATATTTTACCCGTCGGGCAAACAAACTCGCTGTGGTCGCGCCATCGGCCCTCGTTTATCCAGAAGCATGATTAATTCCTTATTTCATTTTCGAAGTGTTACAAAAGTAACTCACTGTCACTCATCACTGTCGAAATATATGCCATGAGGGGACATCACCAGGATTTTTATCGAAATCATTGTTACAATGATTTACTGTGTCTAACTTCAACTTTATTCATGTGCCCCTTTTGTTTGTGCCTTCGCACATGCACGTGCCTTTTTGAAATGGGGGGAAGATGAATCTTGAAATACTTCCATCCCATGAATTGCCTTCAGGAGATATATTTTAAACTATCAAGTTTGTTTGCTCTTCGGGCAAAAAAACTTGCTAGCTTAAAATAGACAAACTCGCTATTGTCGCACCCAGGGTAGTGATTCATTCAACAATTTATTTTCAAAGTGGGAAAAAACGTATTAAATGTACTCATATGTTCCCTTGTGTTTATCGAGGAATGTTTATCGAGGGGAAGCAAACCTTTATTTTCATTGGAATAATTCTCCCATTGTTTCTTGTGTGCCCATCTTCAAATCTCTTCATAATCTGCCCTGAGGGGGTATATTTAAAAAGTAGGATATGTACTCAGTAATCGAACAGGTACTTCTGTTCCAAGTTTAAACTTTCTTTACTTGTCTCCTTCATTGAATCAGGAAAGTTTCCGGAAAATGCTATTTTTTTCGGAAACATGCCCCGAAGAGTTTACCTTAAAAAATTAACATTTTCACTGAAATCAGTTCTCAGAGAACTACGTGCATACCAAGTTTCATTCTCATCTGCGTGATCTTTTTGCTGGTGGAAAATTATATTTGGAAGAAGCCTATTCAGCCAAAAGCTAGGCCCTGGGGGTATGCACCACAAGACCTGATTTTTCTCTGAACTCCCAATCACTTCAATTATTGCTATGCCAAATGTTTCACCTTTCTATCTTTGGCCAATACATTAGAACTAAAAAAAAATCTTTTTGAAAACGTCACCCCCAAAAAGCATGCCCCCGTCGCTTGCCTCTGAATCTTGACATTTTCTCTGAAATTTGTCTCTTAATAGGTACGTCCATGCCAAGTTTCAGTTGTCCATATCTCTCCGTTTGACTGAGGCAAATATATATAATAAAATATATCTCCCACCAAAATGAGTACCCCAAAGCATCCCAAGTACATCCAAAGTCGGTTTTTTTTCTGAACTACACATTCCAATAT